GCCGCCATCTTTTTTTGATGAAAAAGTGCTTCCGGTGAGGTCACCGGAAGCACTTTTTCATCAAAAAAAGATGGCGGCGCCCAGCTGATGCCGGTACCGGGCCGTGGCGCCCAGCTGATGCCGGTACCGGGCCGCGGCGTAAAAAAGGTTGGGGATCACTGGTTTAGAAGGCTTCTTTTGCAAGGGAGGGAAGTTACTCTTATTGGTGTAATACATCGACCAGTATCCAACTCGGGGGAGGGGGGGGGAACTATATATGTATATTTGTCTTTTTTAATGCACATTTTGTCTTTGTAAATTTTTTTCTAAGTTTATATTTTAATTTCTTGAATAAAATAAAAATTATTATTTAAAAAAAAGAATGCTACAATCTCTTAAGGACCACATAATAGAAAATTTCCAGGGAAAACAAGGATGGGGAATCTTATAATTTATGCTCAGATAGCTAAAAGAAAAATGTTGAAAGCTTACGTGTTTGATTTTATGTGGCATGGCATACATAACCTCATGACTCCTGTTTTCTTTTTTATTAATAATCTGACGGCCGGGATCTGATTCTTTTTCTGTGTCAGAAGTGAATGTATCCATGTCATCCTCACAACAGCTCGCAGACGCTTCCAAAGTTTGCACAGCATTCCTTTCACCACCATCATTCTTCCAATTTGGACTATAAACAGAAAATACTAAAAGTGTAATCCAATATATGTATTTAACAAAAAATAATTATATTAAGTACTCAATGTTTTTTTAAAAAGAATATAGGGTTTTTTTTAAACTGAGCTTTTCTGTGTGATATACTTTCTAGTCAACAAAAAAGAGATGCTATTTTACAGGCAATTAAAAATTCACAGTGCTTCTCATATTAATGCTTTTACTAGTCAGACATTTCTTCTGAATATTTGCCAATCTCAAACCAGAAGTGCTTTTCAAAGAAAGCTTGTTTATGGTGTTTTAAGAAATACACAAACTACAACTGGCTACAATATTCAGAATTTGGGAAATCTGTTTATTCTGAAACTTTCTTTTTTTAAAGTGCAGTTTCCAAGATTTAGACCTGCTAAAAGTCGTTATTTTTAGAATCATTTTGTAGCAGAAAAAGGGAAGAAAGAAAAATGTATAAAAGTGGCAGTCACATAGACTGCAGTTTACATTTGTCCTGTTGGAACTTTGTTGTCCAACTTGTTCCAACAAGTTGGAACTTCGGACTTCCTTGCTAGAGAATAAATTATTTTATACCATTGGATTAGGTGTGCCGAAATGTGCAATATTTTCTACCTCATTCGTAGCTCAGTGACAGTGGCATATGGTTCAATACAGTCTTCTTGATCTTGCAAGTAGCTAGCATCACTTTCCGAAAGAGATCGCTGACGAGGCTGAGGGATGGCAATAGTTCGTCCAGTTAAGGTCGTCACAAGAATAGCGGCTGCTAAAGCAGACCTGGAAAAAAATCATTTCAAAAAAATCACGGATCAGGAGGATGGGATAAGATAAGTAAAACACTTAATCGTAATGAGTTCAAAATATAAGTTAAATTAAATAAAACATACATCTTAATACAATTGCTTCCTGAATCTAGTGTTTCCTTTCAACAGCTCTGGGAAAAGAGCCAGCTTTATATATAGCTACTCACATATTTTTCAACAGGCTATAAGACTATTTACATGGAAGGTCCAGGTTGTACATTCATATGTATATGAATGTTAAAACATGACATGGTTTCAACTATCTGAAATAATGGAGGAAACACCCACAACGCACACACACAAAAGAAGAAATGTTTCTCTACAATAGAAAAGTATGGCAAACTGTGTTAAGTGTTGCATGTGCTGCTGAACACCTATATTGGATCTATTAAATCCACTGCTGGATTTAATCAATTCAACCCAATAATACCGTATCATTTTTCTTAATTCTTATAGGAGTAATCAAAACAATTCACTTAGTTTATTATTTTTAATCTTAGTAAGCTAAATTCTAATCTCAACCACAATGCAAAGTTTATTAAACAGGAAGCCACATTTCCTACTTTCAGCTGCACTGGCATTTATACTCAGGGGTGGGATTCTACCAGTTCGCACCTATTCGCTAGAACCAGTTGTTAACATTCTAAGCAGTTCGGAGAACCGGTTGTTAGAAGAAATTACTGGCCTAATCCTGTACGGAAGGCAGGAAGGAAACATTCTGGTGTTGCTTACAGAAACTGCCTCTCCATTAATCCTTATTACATTCTTGGCAGGACTAGACTTCCTGTCTCTGGAACTTCTCTGGAGTTTTTTCCCCCTCCTTTGCTGGTACTTTGCTTGTGTGGAGGGACCATTCAAAGTTACAATGGTACTGAAAAAAGTGACTTATGACCATTTTTCACACTGACAACTGTTGCAGCATCCCCACAGTCATGAGGGCAGGCGAGGAGATGCGTGCCTCGATGTAAGTGATATTGAGTTGGCCACGCCCAGCCAGTCACATTACCACCAAGCCATGCCCACCAACTAAGCCATGCCCACAGAACTGATTGTTAAAAAATTTGAATCCCACCGCTGTTTATACTCTATCTCCATCTGCATTTTATTGTATATGCACGTGCTCCACAATGCTCCCATGCAAAGAAGGATTCCAGCTGAAGCAAAAGTGGGCCAATATACAATCACCTTTCAAAAGTGCCAAATATTTGGATAGCAATGGAGGCATAATTGCTATCTACAGTAATAAAACAACATTTGTCAGTGATGGAAGGAGTCTGAATCTCTCCAAAAATAATAAGAACCAAAACAGACTTTCTTCCAAAAATTTATAGATCATAGCCAGCTTAATATTATCATATGGGCTGCAGCCCATATGATAATATTAAGCTGGCTATGATCTATAAATTTTTGGAAGAAAGTCTGTTTTGGTTTTTTTTGTATTTCAAAGACAAGCTAACATTTGTACTATCAAGTAGACTGTGTTCAAAGCTGCCGAAAACCTCTTTAAATTATATAACATGCAAATACCGTGTTTCTCATATAATAAGGCCGGGTCTTATTTTTTTTTGAGCCCCGAAAAAATGGCTAGGCCGTCTTTTCGGGGGTGACTTAATTCCCCCCCCCCTTTGCATCTTCGGGCGGGCGGGCGGAGATAGCTTGGATGTTGACCTCGGCGTTGGTGGGGCACGTCGTATCGGGGTCAACGCAGGCAGCCCCATATCCGGGTGTGCAACAAAAGTACTTCCTAACGGCAAGCCCCCCCACCATTCCCCCCATTTCGCATTTTTTAATATAGGCCTTAATTTTGGGGGGAGGGGCTTAATTTCATTTCACGCCTATAAAACACGCTGGGACTTCCTATTGGGGGAGGCCGTATTGTTGGAGAAACAGGGTATGTGGTACCCGTTTGTCTTTCAAATGTAATCATACATATGTCTGGTATATACAAATGTACAGGCAAGATAAACCATACTAAACATTCAGATATCAATTAATAATATTAATTCTATTACATGACTGCAAATCAAGAGATGAAAAACCTACCTGGGCCTTTCTGGAGAAGGGTTTGGACTACGAGGGGGAGGGGTGCGGGGGACAGCAGGTTTAGGAGCTATGGTAGCTGCAGGGATCAGGCCATGAGCTATATGTTTCTAGACAATTTAAAATAAAGTTAGTTGGCAATGATTGAACTAACACAATGGAGAAACACAAAAGTGTACATGCACGAGGATGAATAACATGAAAGGAAGGAACATGAACATGCAAATCAATGTATGTGGTAAGCCTAAATGGTTTTGAATGTGATGCGCAAAACGACCATATTGCCATAAAAATAATAGTTATCCTGTGGCTACCGACTATAACTTTTATTATATATTCTATGTATTTATTTTCATGCACATTTGATTCTTGGGATTACAATGTAATTTTTGAAATGTTCATTCTTAGTAGAAAATATCATATTCCAATAAAACAGCTATTCTGTTTCAGAAATCAAAATTACTGGTGATGTTTATATACGGTAATTTCCCTAGATTCAGATGACAATCTTTCTATAAGAATCTCCATGAAAGCTAATAGCTATCTTTTCCTCCTTCTACCAAATGCAGTTAACATACCTAGTCAGTTTCATCATTTATCAAGACATGCAAATCAAGAACTCCAACTTACCTCTTGGAACAACCAGAATCAACGTTTGGTTTTGTCATCTAACTTTGGCTTGGTCAGAGAGGAGTAACCCAAAGATTGAGGTGGATTGGATAGGCATGTGGGGGGAGGGGCAATGCGGGTTGGGAAGGGTGCCTAAGAATGCATGAGAGGTTGTGTGCGGGTCAGAGACAGCATTGTGGGGGGCAGCATGGGTTGGAAAGGGTGCGAGTTGAGGAGGACACACAGAGGTCCATGAAAAGTACCATGAGTCAGGAAGAATGGATCAGGGAGAATGCGTAAAGTTGTCCAAGTGGTGCTGCATAGGACAGATAAGGTATGCCGGGGAGGTAGCACAGGTCAGGTAAGTGCATTAAGGTACAGAGAAGAAGTCACAAGGCTTACGAAGGGCACCCAGGGTGATGGTGTGTGTCTGGAAGGATGCATGGGTGTTCTTCCCTCCCTTCCTCCCATTCCCTTTCCCTTCCTGTCCCACCAGGAAGATGACAACTGCCAGGTGGGAGAGGGAGCAAGGGATTGCACAAGTGACTGGGAAACTGTCACAGCACATTGACAATGGGAGTCATTGTCACCAAGCCAAAAAAAGGTGAACTTTTCCCAACTGCCTCCCTTGAATCATAGGGGTGGGAAGGGACCTTGGAGGTCTTCTAGTCCATCCCTCTGCCCAGGGCAGAAGAAATCCTCCCACCATTCTGGACAAATGACTGCCCAGTATTCAACCACCAGCGATGGAGCCCCTGCAACTCCAAGAGGCAGGCTGTTCCATTGCTCCCCTTCTGGTCCCTCCTTCCAGATCCAACCTGGGATGCTCGGGAGGAGCCAGCCACCTGGTTGCCATGGGAACCGGAGCCACGCTTCCCATCAGGGACCGCCGGCTCATCCTCCGCGCTTTTGATCCTCTGACTTTCCCTCCCCCTTGAACCATTAATTCCACTACCACCCCAGGGAAATACTCACAAACAGGCCTTTCCGGCCCCTCCTGAAATAAAACGGCATGAGGGCGAAAAGGCGGAGGAAAAAAAACACAACAAACGAGAACGAAGCTGGGAGCCACAACCGGCCAGAGGGAGCCGCTGCCCCCTCCCCTCCCGAAGATGAGGACGCTTCCCCTCGCAACCACTCCGCAATTAGCCGCAAGGCGATTGGTTGCTGCGTTCCGCTTTATCCAATCGACATCCGCATTACTGAGGCCCCCTTCGCCTTAGCAACCCGCGTCCGTTAGGAATCGCCACGCTCCTGGCGAGCTATTTTTTTTCCCCGGGAGGGGCGGGAGGAAAAGAGAGGAGGGTTTTGATTGGCTGGCGGCAGCAAGTGCGTCATGGCTGCCGCGCGCTGTTGGAAAAAGGCGGAAGTAGGAACTACTCACTATAGCTGGTGCTTCCAGCTATGAATGGGAGCCTCTCTTGGTTTGCGTTCGCGGGTTTGCTTGCGTGTATGTGCACGTTCGCACGTGTATTTTAAGGCATTGTAGGTTCTTGGACATTGCTGTGCAGGATCTTTAAATGAAAAGGTAAGAAGAATGCTTTGCATTGATTCACATGTACATGTGGATTATTTATCAGCAATAAACTGGTCTTTGTCAATAGTCCCCAAGAGATTGGCTGTTATTCACGGAACGGAATGCAGAATAACGGAGTTGGAAGGGACCCTGGAGGTCTTCTAGTCCAACCATTTGAGAGGCGGCCACAAAGAGTCAATTTATTTTCCAAAGCACCAGAAGGCAAGACAAGAAACAATGGATGGAAACTAATCAAGGAGGGAAGCAATCCTTGGAATTGAAGAGACACTTCCTAACAGGGAGGACAATAAACTAGTGGAACAGCTTGCCTTCAGAAGTTGTGGGTGCTTCATCAATGGAGGCTCTTAAGAAGAGACTAGACAGTCACTTGCCTGAAATGGCATGGGCTCTAGAAGACCTTCCAAGGTCCCTTCCGGCTCTATTCTATTCTATTCTAAAATTCTAAACCCCCTGCTGAAGCAGGAGACCCTGGCCTATACCATTCTGGACAAATGGCTGTCCAGTCTCTTCTTGAAGACCTCCAGTGATGGAAAATCCACAACTTTTAGGATGCAAGAATTCCACTGATTGATTGTTCTCACTATCAAGAAATTTCTCCTTAGTTCTAGATTGCTTCTCTCCTTGATGAGTTTCCAACCTTACTCAGTTTCAGCACCTGATTCCAAGCTGACTTGAGCCAACTCACAATGCAAAGCAATATAAACACTGAAATCTACAGTAAACAGATGGTGGATCCAATCAGCATATAAAACAAATTTCATGTAACCAGCAGGGCCCCCAATCTGGTGGGATTCAAAAAAAATTTACTACCAGTTCTGTGGGTGTGGCTTGGTGGGTGTGGCAGGGGGAAGGATACTGCAAAATCCCCATTTCCTCCCCGCTCCTCCAACCTGCTTTCCAGCTCCGTTCTCCTGTGCAGGGCAACAAAAGAAGACCCAGCCGATCAGCTGGGGACTTGGGAGGCAGAGAATAGATGGGGGCATGGCCAGTCAGTAGTTCTACGAATTACTCAAAATTTCTGCTACCGGCTCTCCAGAACCTGCTGAATGTTACCTCTGGCCCTAATCCTCCATCTCAGAGGCTGGGAAAACAGCCCTCTGGAAAGTCTTCATCTGGAAGTCACCTGGATTTCATGGGCAATCCCTGGTTAATGAGAAATGTATAGTTTTTGCATTTTCACAATGACAGGTTAATGGTTTCTCTTGCACAGGACAAATAACCTTACATGTGTGGAAGGAAGTTTAATAATGGCAAATGATAGCACCCCAGTCCGAGCAGGAGCTGTAAGTGTTCCTTTGGGCCATGTGATTGGCCATGAGAAATGGAAGGGCTCCCAGATTGCTCAGGAGATGCAAGGTAAATTGTACTTGGATAAAATTACAGAATTTTGCATACCATCAGATCATCCTAAAATCTGAAAATTAAACCAACATATTTATTTAAATATATTGGTCACCCAACTCTTTTTATTTTGTAAAAGGAAACTGATCGATGCATTGCCTGTTTTTAGATGTTCAGTATAGTTTAGTGGGGGGGTGGGGGTGTTGAACTAGGATAGTGAAGTGAATGGCTTTCAGCAAATCAAAGTATCAATTAATATCTTGGTTTGGTCTGGAGCTCTTAATTATAGTTTTTCTAACATCCAAAAGGTAAATAGGTTATCTAAACAGCCAGAAAAATTAGGATGTCTCATTTTATTAAGCTAGGATAATCTGAAGATATCACTAGATCACAAGGACTATTTTATTATTTTTACCAGATCGTTTTAATTCTCATTCATTTGAATGCCAGCGCTATATACTATAAATGGAATATGACAAGCCAGATGTTAAAGTCTGATTTAAATGCATACTTTCACTCTGTAGGGCTAAACATATTTGGAAATGATCACTCTTGAAACCATTGGCATTTTCTTCTGAATTACTTACTTAGAACTTGGAGATAAAACAACAGTTTGATTTTCAGAGTGTGTTCAGGCATTATTTGTTTAAACATAGAATTGGTTGGGTTCACACAATATGTTAAAATCAAACTTAGGAGGATATATAAACGCAGCCAGAATTGTGTACCTACAATAGTTGTGCCACTACTAAAGTTTCCATGCTTCTCATTTTTCAAGGGAAAGTTAAGCTTATTCTAGAAGATGGCCTGGGTCTCGTGGACTTTCATCTTTCAAACAGGTGCTGCATCCTTTACATTTCTGAAGCAGATCTGGTGGCAGGAAATGGCTTCAAAAGAAGACTTGTTCGTTTTAGAAATGTAAGCACACATACTCTTGAAAGTATCGTTTGGATCATCCTTTTCAAGAACAGAATGTCAGCAAAACATTAGATCAATTCATCACAATTCAAGGAGAATCTAATCTTTAGTACCATGCACTGTGATTTAGTAATTATACCAGCAACCCAAATCCGCCATTTTAAGAAGTATATTTTTAATTCTTAATCCAAGGATTCTATGCGTTTTCCTTCCTTCCTTGCGTTGCTATTTCCTTTTTGAAATGATCCGATTTTGCTTTAGGAACAAAAAGATATTTTGCCTAGGTGTAGCTTTGTATTTATCTTCAGCTTATAGAAAGCTCTAACTGGTTCATCTGTACCTAATTGGCTGTTGCAGGAAAAGTTTAGGAATTAATGGCCGTTATATGGTGTATTATGGTTCTCTTATGCACTGATCTGAATGATGTCAACCCAGCCATTTACATTCTCATATCTCAGGAAAGAACAGTCTTTAACCAGTGATTTTAAGCAGCATGACTGAGTGGATTGAAGGGGAGAAAGAGTGAAGAAATCACATTTTTTAAAAACTTTCCCAGCTGCTCCTAATTGAGCTTACTCTAGGCTGTTGGTTTGTCCCTGTCGTTAATACCTGTTACTCTCATTGTTCCTACTTGCTCCAGACTTGCAATCTTCAAGGGATTGTATTTGTTGAAAAAACCCAAATAAGTAACCAGTATTTTCCAGAAGTGCAGAAATTTGTTGTCCTGGAACTTGGAATGACATTACTTCCGGTGGCCAGCCAAAAAGAAGCAGCTCAACTCATTGCTCAATTGGTAAGTACCTTCAAGAGCTGTTTGTACTGCTATCAGGCTGTGAAGCAGTGCTTTTCAAAGTTGACAAATTTATGAAGGGTGGACCTCAGATTAGAACTGGTGTACAAGAGCTTCTCATATTTTAAGTGGCTCTGCAGGAAACAGAATTCTGGACTAGACAGGCCTTGATTTGAGGCGGCAAAATAATTTCAAAACTAGGGATGTTTGACTCCTATTAGATTTGGAGGAAGTACCTCAAAATGCTCAGAACCTTGAGTGCAATACCTGTGACTCATTAAATTAGCTACATTTATTTCCAATAAAAAGATGAAGACTGCTGCTCTATGATCCTGCCCAGCCCAAAATGCCACATTTCATTCTGCAGCCGAAGCGCTGACCATCCTATAACCAACAATCTTTCTGAATTACAGGTAGGCCTCGACCTACAACAATTCATTTAGTGACTGTTCAAAATTACAACGGCATTGGGGGGAAAAGTGACTTACGACCGTTTTTCACACTTACGACCATTGCAGCACCCCATGGTCACATGATCAAAATTGAGATGCTTAACTACTGGTTCATATTTATGACGTTTGCTGTGTCCCAAGGTCTCGTGATTCCCCCTTTGCAATCTTCTGTCAAGCCAAGTCAATGGGGAAGCCAGATTCACTTAACAACCAGGTTACCAGCTTACCAACTACAATGATTCACTTAACCATCATGGCAAGAAAAGTCGTAAAATGCAGCAAAACTCTTTTAACAAAGGTTTCCCTTAGCAACATACATTTTAGGCTCAATTGTCAGTCCAGAAATGCTTGTAAAAATTTACCACCGAAAAACACAAGAGGGCAGCCAGACTAAATTTGACTTTCCATTTCAGGTGCATGAGCAAACGAAAGCCAGTAATCCTTTCCAAAGTAAGAAATGTACCAGGTTATTGGAACCGTCTGTGCTCCATACAGTCCAGCAGATTCCAGGAGTTGGAAAGACAAAGGCACTTCTTCTTCTGGAAAACTTTGGAAATATCCACCAGCTTTGCAACGCTTCTCTCCAGGAGCTTGAAGGAGTAGTTGGCCGCAGCCTAGCTCAGCAAATCCATGCATTCTTCACCCAGGCAAAATAATGTGTGTTTTCCAACATCAAGCTTTTTGAAAGTCTGGAAGTTCCCTTACACACACGGTCAGATTTCAGTTGGTATGAAACTCAAGAGAGCCTTCATTTCCATCGAGGAGCAAATGAAACAGGATTTTTTTTTTAAGCCCCGAGTTTGTTCCATCTGGGCTTTGTAGGGCATGCTTTTGGCTTTCAACTGCAGACAGCTGGATGCGATGTCACCTTTTTTGAATAGCACTATGAACACTTTTTCCTGGAGAATTTAGCTGCAGGACTAAATTTGGCTTATTTGACTGTCCCTTTAAGAAGCAGCTGAGATTGCCATGAAAAAGAATGTATTTAAGAAAGTATTAATAAACTAACAAGAACTACTTAAAGGAAAACCTTTGCCTTTCTTTAAATAGTTCTTGTTTTTAATACTTTCTTAAGTACATTCTTTTTCATGTCAGTCTCAGCTGCTTATTAAAGGAACAGTCAAATAAGCCAGATTTCATCTCTGTTAAGTCTGTTGAAAAATAGGGAGGCTCTGAGTTTTTAGACTGAAAAAGAGCAGGTTGTCCAGTGTAAATGAATTTTACGTTCGTTCAGCGGACCGTCCCGATTTGTCATATTGTTTTGGATGCAGGAGAAACCCAATCCATCTACCTGACTTTGGCTTACCATTCATAACTTGTTTGTGTAGAAGTTAAGAATTCTGAGCATCGGAACTGCCCTGAACAGACCATTTACTGACTGTTGGGAACTGTTATTTAATGTGCTTGATTTTTGTATCCGTTAAAATCAGGGGTCAGTTCCCTGTTCTGGTTTGTTTGAGTAATACTGAGGTAATAAGAGGAGTTCCTGGATGGATCATCATTTAAGAAACGTGTTCTCACATCAAGATTGGCCCAAGGGACTCACTTTGGGTACTTTAAAAAAAAACATCCAGGAATGAACCTTGTTTCTTTCCGGCACTGGGTATAATTCTGGAAATCCTTATTTATAGGTCTCATCTAGGCTTTCCTCCATTCGTGATCTACATTCCTCTGGATCTACATTCCTCTAATCAGCCAGTTATGACGAGAACCTATAGCGGAAATTTTGAGTAGTTCGGAGAACTGGCAAATACCACCTCTGACCGGCCCCCATCTATGCTTTGCCTCTGGAGTCCACGCTGATCGGCTGGGTCTTCTTTGGTTTCCCTGCACAAGAGAACAGAGCTGGAAAGCAGGTTACTGAGGTGGGGAGGGAATGGGGATTTTGCAGTATCCTTCCTCGTCACACCCACCAAGCCACACCATGCCCCAGAACTGGTAGTAAAAAATTTCTTATCCCACCACTGATCTGCTCTATCAAAAACATGGTTTGACAGGTGGGCCCGGTAGGAAACAGCTTCTAGGAGTGGAACCTGAACATTACTTTGCAGGAGGCCCCTGGAAGGCCGCCAAACTGAAATTATGAAGGCGTATCAAGAGTGAAAAGAAGGAATGAGTCATCCTTCTCAGTCTGCCCCCGAGGGCTTCTGTATCACTTCCAGCAAAGTTATGCTTCCGTGGAGCTTAAAGGTTGTAACCTGGTCTTTTCAACCAAAACTCCCACATGTCTTTCAAAGAAAGAGCACATACCTCACATTACATAGAACCGGCTAGAGTTACCCTTTCGGCATTTGGCTGCACGCAGCCTGGTTTTACAGAGAGCCTTGGGCCACGGGCTGCTTCTGAGGGAATGGGATAGAGAGATAAAGGAGGCATTCAGGCTTGGTTCTGGGCACCTGCATCCCTGCAGTTTTCTTGGACATGATACTGGATGGCTTCCCATTGCTGCCTTCCAGCATTTACTTCTTTTCAAATCAGGCTGGTAACTCCAGCATTCCTCAGTGTTGTTCCATCTGCGTATTATTTCTGAAATAATGTAAGACCGAATAGGTACCGCCACCTAACTGGGCAGAGAAGGCGGCTAAGGCTGTTTTGGACTCTTGGACAATATTACAGGCATCCTTTTTGTGACTGGTTGACATTGTTTTAAGCCAAGGATGGACTATTTTTTTTTTTTTAATGACTGGATGCCAGAGTTAACAGCAGGCAGAAAGGCAAAATGGGTTAATGCAGTACTTTTGCTAAAGGCCAGGCGGTTTAGGCCAGGGCTGTTCAGAAGCAGGTGTTGCAATTCGAGGGGGAAGATGTTGCAGATACAAGCAGGAAAACACGTTGTTAAAATGACTGAGATTCTTTCCTTCAATGCCCTCCTGAGTCAAAAGGGCAAAACCATTAAGGAAATTTTGCCTTGTATGAAAGATAATAAAAGGCGCCCTCGGGTATCTCTCTTTCTCCAGGAAGTTCAGTGGTGGTCATTTAATCTTGCATTATTTTTTTTTTAAAAAAAGGAGTAGTAATCTCGCCCTTAATCTCATTTTTTCCCCCCTGCTACTTACTGAAAGGTAACCCTGCAGATTTACCAGGTTTCAGTCCAAGGTTATTTTTTTAAAGAAAAAAAAAAGACAGTAAATCAACGCTTGGTAATCTTGGAAATACTTGGGAGAAGCAAGGAAAGGAAGATCATGTTTTGGTCATTGAGATGTTTTTGCTGTGTGCATATGATTATAGCTCCCTCTACACCTGGCAGGTCTCTTAAGCGGTTTTACAGAGCCAGCATATTTCCTCCAACAATCTGGCTCCTCATTTTACCAACCTCGGAAGGATGGAAGATTGAGTCAACCTTGAGACGGTCAGGATTGAACTGCTGGCAGACGGCAGAATTAGCCTGCAGTACTGCATTGTAACCACTGTGCTGCCAGGGCTCTAATCCAGGGGTGTCCAACCTTTCACCTTCCCTGGGCCACATTAGAAGATGAAAATTTGGTTTGGGCCGCACATAATTAAATTAAATAATATTAAATTAAATTAAATTAAATTATTAAATTAATAAAATAGTAAAATAATAAAATAAAATAAAATTATTATTTATTATTAATTATTTATTAAAAATTATTTATTTTTTATTTTATAATTTTCCGGCCAAATTTTGCGGGGAGGGGGGGAGAAAGCTCGCCCGCCTCGCGCCTACCTCTCCTCCTGCAAATTATTTATTTTTTATTAATTTTCCGGCCAAATTTTGCGGGGTGGGGGGAGGGGGGGAAGAAAGCTCGCCCGCCTCACGCCTACCTCTCCTCCTGCAAATGCAGCGGTGGCGGGGGCAGAAGCAGCAGTGGTGGCGGCGGCGGCAACAGCAGGAGGTGGCGGAGCGGGACTTTTGGGCTGCGGCTGCCTGCCTTTTCTGTTGCTCGCCTTGCCCCGCCTCGCGCCTGCCTCTCCTCCTCCTTGCTGGATCTTTCATGAAGGTTGGGGTGGGCGTTGGGCCGCATTACAAGGCGACCTGGGCCGCATGCGGCCCGTGGGCCGCGGGTTGGACAAGCCTGCTCTAATCAAAAGCATGAAGCTAGCATTTCAGAAAACGCTACATGCTAGTTTGCAACAATGCCTTTAAAGTCCCCCAAGATCCCACTGGGATGGTAGAGAGGATTCTGGAAGGCTGGCCATCCTGCCTACAAATGGGTATTTTGTGATCTGCTATGCCCACTTGGATGGGCATTTTGTGAGGGCACCAACCATATGATGTGCCCTGCATCAAAAGGTTTGCCTACTTCTGCTTCAGTGTTGAATCCAGCTAACTATGGCTTAACCAACCATGGCATATTATAGCACACATATTCTGTTACTATACATTATCTGGAGAACCCAGAAAATCAAAAGTGGAATGTGTGTGTGTGTGTGTTTTCTTAAGTTTTCGTGGGTACTTACATGTATGGTGTTCGGCTTGGTTCGGGTATTTTCCTACGTCATTAGAGTTGTGCTTTTAAAGTTGTAGCAACGTTTCGGCAGAATCTCATCTGCCATCACAATACAGAAGCCTGATGATGGCAGATGAGATTCTGCCGAAACGTTGCTACAACTTTAAAAGCACAACTATAATGACGTGGGAAAATACCCGAACAAAGCTGAATACCATACATGTAAGTACCCGTGAAAACTTAAAAAAACTAGATAGATAGATAGATAGATAGATAGACAGATATCTTTGGTTATTCGGGTTTTCTCCCGCGTAAAATTGGAAG